TGCCGGGAAGCTTCTATTTATTGCACCTTTCAGTCTTTTGTCAATCTTTTGTGACACTGCATCTCCTTTGTATGGTAGACAGATAAACACTTTTTTCTTTTCTACAGTTGGATGCTTTTCTTTCTCATCTTTTTCTCTGCTATACTTCTGTATAAATCCCTTAGGGTATCCATTTTCCCTTAGGCATTTCTCGACGAAAACTAATTCTTCTTCGACCCTGTTTGGTGAACATAGCTTTCTGGCTCTGTCATACAAAGTCCTCACTAATCCACGTTTATAGCTTATGGGACAAAAGCTGTTATAGTGAAGATATTGTCCAGTCCAGGTTTCTTTTCTATAGATGGACTTTTCGACCGTGCCTTCGTTTGTTCTTTTTACATTTAGATCCAGGAAATTGAACTCATTATTATGTTCATATTCCATGGTGAATTTGATATTTGGATGGATCTCATTTAGGCGATCATATAGTGCCGATGCGTGATCCATATCGTTGCAAACAACAAATGTGTCATCAACATATCGGCGATAGTAGGTTGTTCCATTGATAGCAGAACTTAGTTGTGTCTGTTCAAGGTAGCCCATGAAGATATCAGCCAGGATAGGTCCCAGAGGCGAACCCATCGCGACCCCATCGGTTTGTCGGTAAAGTTGATTGTTGAATTTGAATTGTATATCTTTTGTGCAGAGCAGTAGAAGTCGCTTCATCTCTGTTTCCGGTAATGGTAGTAGATCCGTTTGTTTACAAATTATATCAATTGTTTCCATCAGTGGTACATTTGTAAACAAGGAGGTCACGTCATACGATACCATGAGTTTGTCTGATATGTCGATATTGTCAAAAAGCAGGAAATTTAGGTCTAAGGCTTCCTGACGATTGCCTCTAACCATCTAATAATCTATAAATGCTTTATTATTTTGACTGAAGTGAAACAAATACAATCCTACGTAATTATGATTAACTACACAAACTGAAAGTTATTCGTTAACAGTGTTTTGAAAATTCTCTCAAATAAAATTATGGTAGAAGTGGTGTTCAGCGAGGATATAATTCCTAAGCTACATAATACATGCTCACATGTGTTCGTCGGTATTTCACTGGCACAATGCTCGTCAACCATGCCTTATGGTTCGACGCCCAACCAACGCACCCCTAAACCTCACTTAGCCGGTAGTAAGCCCTCTGTAAATAAGGAGGATTGGAAGGGGGATGGTAACAAACTCACCGCATAAAAAAAGAATCAACCACAGCGATAGAAGATATAAAGCTCAAGCTTGCAGTATTGCGTTCCATTCGAAACGCAAAGGAATAAAATTATATTCACATAAACAAAAGGAACACTTTCAAAGATTTGTCACTAAAGTTGACGGTTTTAAATACCACTTTTGTAATACAGAAAACATTAATTGGGAAGATACTAAAATAAAATAAGTCAAATGGGTAGCGTAACATAATTGATAGGATTGAGTTGAGGATAGCTCAAATCGAAAGAGGGTCAAGTTAAGATGAGTGTTATAAGGAGTAGAAATATAATGGTAGGAAAAGATTTTAAAAATTCTAGATAATTAAATTAGAAAATGTTGAAACATATAAGGTCCATCATATGTTCAGTGACTGACCAAACTTCTTCTGTATGCAAACCTTAGGATTTAACATGTGGATCGCTATAGCCTCTGAGATTTGATGAAGTTCCAGTCATACTCCTTTAGTAAAAATTCCCACTTACTACGTAGATGACTGTGATGTTAGTTTAAGAGTTTGCTCGATGTCCGAAACTGATCAAGTGCACCATAATAGTGTGATATGTTCTGATTCAGTTATTTCTCAGCGAAACCAACAGTGTGCAGACATGTCGTTATCATACTAGATTTATTTATCAGCGCAAATCTACAGAGTGACGTATAACTAAGATAGATTAAATGGTTTGACTTCACTTTGAATGGGAACTTATTGAATCTGACTGGGTCGTGTTTCTTCTTACAAATTCCTAAAAGGACTTTTATTTGCTTCTTGTCCGTTGTAAAGAAAATTTTTATTCCTTTACGTCCCTAGTGGAACACAGGGCTTTACGCTAGAGGCTTGAAGTTGATTTTTACGGGATGGGGTTGCTACCCTCATGTCCAACCTCCCCTCTTTACCAGTCTCATTACTGGCTTAGAGAGGTAAAGTAGTGTGTCGACCGGGGATCAAACCCCAGACCACATGCGTGGTTGGAGAGCATTCTACCGCTGTGCCACAGACTTCACAAAAAAGTAATTATTATTCTACGCTGCTGGTCTGTGAAACTATCATGATTCAATATATCAGTCAACTCAAGATCAGTTTAAGCTAATTTCAAGCCAATCAATGATTAACAGCTCAGAAAATCATGCCTAACTTATTATATTACTCGATAGTAAGGCAAATAACAAAGTTACTAGATTTGTGCACTTGCAAAATGAAAACAATTCAATAATTTAAACGCCGAATAACGGATCAGATATCTGACTTTAGTACTTATCATTAGTGAAGAATTAGTCAAAATTGAATCACATGTCAAAATTCTAAACAATGCGCCATGCGTGAAAGCATGTCTGAACCTTCTGAATAGTCTTCAACAACTACACACTGCTCTTTACTTCACAATCGTTTTCTCCCTAAAGTTACACTGTAAATTGGAATTCAACTGATAACTTCGAAACATTAGACGACGCTTGCCGTTGTAAATATGAATGTCATTGGTTGAGCGTTTTCCAGCCCGGTATTCTTTGGTGTAAAATTGTCAGTGACATTCTAACCGCTTATACAATAGCTTGAATAAAAATATTTGATTTTCAATAGTTGATTTGTAAGAATTAGATTTGTTTCTCTCGAGTTTGACTACAGATTGGTATCAGTTAGAGAACCATTGAAAACCAACATGGAGTACTGGATAGCTATTTCATTTTAGTTTGAGAATCATCGGCAGTACGCACCCACACTGTGGGGTTCGAACTCAGGACCCCCCGGTTACGAGGCAAGCTGGTTTGTATACCATTCAGCCACTGGGACCCGATTCAATATCCAGCCAACGAATTCTAATTTCCACTAATTCATGATTTAGCGCGACCACTAACCAATGTCATTGGTGGTAGCACTAAATCACGAATTGGTAGAAGTTAGAATTCATGGGTTGGCTATAAGTTGTGTTACGCTTGCCAAGCTGTGGTCTTCCTTGACTAGCAGTGTTGACGGATCAGTCTGCAAGATTTAAGAATAAGTAGATCAAAATATAGCAACTTTCCATGAAGTCCTTGGTTTCAGCCACACAGTGCGAAAGGGGGGTATAAACTCCATATTACTTTACTGAGTGGCGTTTCGAAGGCAAATTACCGTTCATAATCTTATTCATTGTAACTAGACAACTTAGATACTTCATTTCACAGATCTTCTTTCCCATTTGTACCAAGGGTAGGAAAAATTTCCAGATGTCCGAGATAGATGCTGAGTCATCCATCCCTGTGACACGTGTTCTCAGTTGATTCAATAAGTAAAAGTCCAACTGTCAATCTCTTTCTCCACCCTGTTACATTAGATTCTAATGTCATTTTTCCCCAACCTATTTTATGTGATGCTATAACTGAACGTGAAATTACATACTACCTCGGCACACAAGTTTTACACATATATAATGGGGGATGTAGGCTACCTGACCAACGTTCTCTTTATGCTATCACTCAATGGTTGCATACTATTGGTAAAAAGGCTAGAAATCATTTTCAGTGGTGCAGATGTTTTCATTTCAAGTGATCTTCTAGTTCTACTGAACCCTCATTATTCTTCATTGAATTACTCTCTCCTTACATTTCCGTTTATTATGGTTTCACTGCATTCCTTTTCTCTACCTTTTATGATATGTGATAAGTTTGTGCAAATTACTGCGTGGAAAATCCAGTTCAGATCACCCTAATCATTACGCAACCCATGTTAGGAGAAGATTCCATCATTATACAAGACCACTATTCAAAAGGGTCAGGACTCATGACAGCACTCCAATCTTAAGGATAATTGAAGAAAGATATCTCATGGACGTCTTCTAAAAGAACGGATATCCACGGAACTTCATCAAAAGACATCTACCCCAAGCCAACCTATTAACCCAAAAGCCCCCCAAGGAAAACACTAAGAAAATCGCCCTACCATATTTAAAAGACATCTCAGAAATCACTGTAAGACTCTTCAAACCTTAAGGAATTCACGTGGCACACTAACCAACAAAATCACTTCACTCAGCTCTATGTCAACTAAGAGACTCAACAACGAAAGACAAAACCAACATCACCTACAAAATAAATTGTAACAACTGTGAAAAACACTACATTGGCCAAAGTAGACGTCCACTTCGTCTTCGTATCCAAGATTATAAGCTAGCCGTCAAAAGACATGACATCAACTCCCTCATATCGCTGCATACAGACAACCACGGATATTAATTCGACTAAGACAACGTTCAAATGTTATACAGACGAAATACCAAGAATGCTAGAGAATTTTTAGAAGCATGGAGTTCCAGTGAATCATCAATCAATGGGCATATCGACATAGACAAAATTTACCAACCGATAAGGAGGAAATGTCACACACACAAAAGGTCAACCTTCAGGTCAAGGAAACAATCAGTTCCAATACAAGTTGCCTAGAAGGTGTGAAAACACGCAAAAACAACCAATAACGTGCAAGGTCACCAGAGGAGATGACTAATAAACTCGTGTAGAAATGTAACAGCTCACTTCAATAAGTTGAAGTATGCGCTGAAGATGTTGCCTAGTAGGACAGTGAAAGCTTCGCAAATAAACCATTCAGCTCAGAATACACAAGTACATCGAAATCATCCACCTGAGCTACAAACTTTCTTCATCATACTTACAATCTAATGGGAAAAGTAAACTTGTTAAGGATTTTTCCACAATTCTGTTGATTTACCTTTTTAATCATTTATCATGTGATAAATTTTCGTTGTTTTTTCTTTCATTATATATTTCAGCGAGAACAAATGGCCACGGTTATCATAGCGGTCGCATTCGTGGCAATCGTTACAATCTGTGTCGTTTTAATTATACTACGATCACTTAGAAATCGATCGAATCGAAATTCCTGTGGAGTAAGTTATTACAACATAACCGCGTTTTTTTATCAGCTCATGATCAAATCCTCCATGCAATCAAACAAAATCCCTACAACAAACCAATACTTAAAAATTCATCTGATGCTCACTAGTGACTGGCCCTATTCAGGCAGTTAACCTGGGGTTCTAGTGGGAAGCCGTGACCAGTAGGGTACAGCAGGTTGAAGATGAGGCAGTAACTCATCGAAGAAGACATTGCGAAGTGGTCGCGCTATGTCGTGAACTGGCAGAAGTTAGAATTCAAGGACCATTGGATCGGGTCCCAGTGGCTCAATGGTCTACGAGCTCGCCTTGTAACCAGAAGGTCCTGGGTTCGAATCCCGGTGGGTGCGTACTGCTGAGGGGTCCCAAACTAGGACGAAAGAGCTGTCCAGTACTCCCAGGTTTTCCAGTGGTTCTCTAACTGATGTCAGCTCATGATCAAATCCTCCATGCAATCAAACAAAATCCCTACAACAAACCAATACTTAATAATAAATTTATGCTATGCTGAGGGTCTATGGACAAAGTCGTACTGCTGGGAAAAAAGAACGTAACAATAGAAAGGTGTTTTCTTTCAAATCACCAGCTACCTGTCTACTTCGAAGACAGGAGGGTAGAAAAGGTTTACCCCTAAATTACTACATTCCGATTCGCCCTACGGCAGTCAGTAGCTAGCCGTAGGTTGCCAATATGGGAACTACTGTAAAAACCAATTCAAACATGTCGTGTATGGCCGACCTCAAGTAGTTGTCCCATGGACACTGCAACCATGCAACACTTATTCTCTCTGTTTCAGTTACCTCAAGAAAAAATCGACTTCCACAGTGTATGCAGCCAAAACGTGATAACCGCCTACATAATTCCAAAAGCACACAAATACACTCCGAACTCTGTCGCACAGATCATATTTTTCACGTAGCAGGCTATATCAGCCAAACATGTATGACGACTAATCATATTGCCCAATTGATGCAGACGGAGAAGGATTGCATCCTGAGATCCACTAAATGAAAGTAAGACGCTGAAGTCAATAAGTTACATCTCCCATATTTAGTCCGTAAAGTACTAAATATAATCTTGAGTATATGTTCTTGACTGACTACTTTCATAAACATGCTGCTTATCTGCATAAGTTGGCAGAAAACATACCCCAAAAAGGGAAAATTTTAAATCACAAATTTCAGAATAATGTTGGTCATATTTCATTTTAATTAGGAAATAATTACCATAGAAAAATATAACTCCCAGAAAATCATACATTATTTTTATTATTATTCCCTTGGGTTTCAAGTGGAACATAGGGCTTGAACAACATATCTTCACTTTGTTCTATTTTCTGCTGTCCTCTCCAGCTGAGTCCACAACTGCCTATAATCTCTCATCTCGTCCTCGCACAACCTCCTCAATGTCAACCTCGGACGAGAAAATTACACATACATACATATCAATAGATCACTGAGAGATTAACCGATATGTTATCCCGTGCATGCTGCTGTTCTTAGCTCTAATGCTGCAGTTTATTCAATACGACGACGACCAAACAAAATCGTAATACATAAGACGACAGAGCATACTGCACATATATAGGTACAAAAATGCCTGTTTGCATAAGGTTGAGAGCTCAAACGCTTCTATCTAAATCCCAACAACTGATGATTTCATCTACAACGTGCAACCTAGATTAATTGATTCCATGAGTTTGAAGTAACTCGAACTTCTTAGCTAAGTCGAACCAGGTATACTGTTGATGAGCTTGACCCTGTAAGCAAGAAGGCTATCGGGTATTTAAATCATCTAGATTGGCCTGAATAGAAGCCAAATAATTAATTAAGTCATTCAGTAGTGCATACTACCATCGTGGTCATATTAGGTCAAGCCACTCAAATTCTCACTAGATACCTCGGAGATCTGATCAATACGTAGAAAAAGAAATTGTCAAATTCCATAGAATACTTTCAATATAATCAATCGTAAGCCACATCTGAAGTCTCCATAATTTCTTGACGACTGAAGGATTTTATTCAGATAACTTTACACACACACACAAACAGTAGAGATAGTCATGAGGAACCGTAAGTGAAGGGATGACATTCTCTTTAATCAAAATTGTCTTAAAATACACCAAACGTACCTGTATTTCAGTTGTTCACACTAAGAATGGAAAGGAAGATGCAAATACTAGCGATTTTATTAGACCCAAGGAAAGTAAACAGTAATCTAATACAAATACTCAAAACCAGGAGAACATATCACACTATTAACAAATAATCCAATTAACATTGAAGTGGTTTACTCTGTTAGAAAAAAGTCAAATTAGAATAAAACAGATTCCGAGAAAATACATTTATAAGATCACATAGTGGAGAGTATACGAGAAACTCAAAAGTAATGTTCAATCAACCACACTATTCTCTTCAGAATAGAACTTCCATTAACAATATCATCTGAAAGCATATGAAAATCGTAGCTTTCTTTTATGCGAACTTGTAATAATCTACTCTTGTAATTTGAGCGTTCATTCAAAGTTACATAATCTTTCATTGTTTCAATGACAAGGAAATGAAAAACTTGAAGAGTGCTCAAATCGCACAGAAATAAACTTCTTCAAGAGTTGGTTTGTAAGGATTAGATTTGTTTTTTTTTCGAGTCTGACCACGGACTGATATCAGTTAGAGACCCATTGAAAAACCAACAGGGAGTACTGAACAGCTGTTTCACCCTAGTTTGGGAATCAGCGGCAGTACGCACCCACACTGCAGAGTTGGTAAAACAACTCTTGAAAATAAATCTGATGTTCGCTAGTGACTCGTGCACTGAATCACTAATTGGTAGAAGTTAGAATTCATGGCCACTGAATCAGGTCCCAGTGGCTGAATGGTAAACGAGCTTGCCTTGTAACCGGAAGGTTCACTTCACTTCATAAAAAACATATGGAAAACATGCGTTGACGATTCACTACTAGTCAGCATATAGTATGACTAGTTGCAGATCCGCCTTGCTGATGCTGGTGGGGGCTAACAAGCACGAAACTTAGGTCCAAGGCTTACTGCCCATTGTCCCCAACCACCAACTATAGACAATTTACAGCGCACCATGATGTTTGAGCCACCTAGAACGCCGGCCACATTGCAAACTTCACTCACAGAATTCAGTCTGGACCAAACAAAGGACTAGACAATTACACTGGTATACAATCAAAATAGTATGACTTAAATGCTAATCTCAAAGACTAACACTGAATGAGTATTATCCACATTTTGTGGTAAGTGGAACGGAGACGAAATCCTTAAACACCCCAGAACAATCACTCGCAACTACTTAAGGCACAGGCTGCGTCTGGAACATACTTCCATATGCACAAGGTTTTTTTTAGAAGGAACTGACATGTGTGACAACCTTTCGGTGCAAGACGCTTTTCGAAAAAGAATGAGAAAATATAGAATGATAGATCACCACTGGAATCCAATATGACACAACATATTTAAATAGTTAGATATGAAACACAAGAGCTATGAATAGTATCTTCAATCAATGAAAGCTGACATTGATCTGTAAATAATACCGAGTAGAACATAATTTCAAGCTATCTAAAGCTTCAGTACAGGATGAATTTGGCTAACTTCACGACCAAACTTCCAACTTTTCTGAGCTTACCATCATCTAGTAAACTAGTTGAAGTTTAGGAATACATTCCCCAGAAATCGACACAGCACCACTTACGTGGTTGACCAGGGCATCTACGCGTAAATGTAACCGTATATTATATATAAACTCAGAAAGTCTCTAAAAGAAATGTATTTGTAAACCCTATTATTGTATTTTTATCATTTTCAGTGTCAATTTATGAAGCAACAGAAATCCACTGAAACGGAGAAAATTAACAAAGTAAGTTTAACTACCCCCACCTTATTGATAACAAAGGCTTTTGAATACACCGTGTATAGAACAATTTGAAGGATACTCTACTGAGTAGATAAATACGATTAATGAAATACTGACTGGCAAATATTCCAGTAGATGAAGTGCCAAGTTTAACTCCGAGCAAAAAACGTACATCAGAATCGTACAACCGTTATGTTGAAGGGAGTGTGCGTGCATTCATATACATAATTACTGAATCAATCATTTTGTCCTTTAGTATTCCCGTCAAGAGAGTACAAAAAACAGTTTCAGAATGAAAAGTAAGTTCCAGCAACCCCCTAGCATGGAAACAAACCTTACAGATTGCAGAATGCATACCATCTAACTGAAGTCTTCGGAACGGAGTTAAATTCGAATAATTTAAACTAATTAACTAAAATACAGATATAGTGGAAAATAAGTATGCTTGATCTGCATTCTGCTACGACCGGTTGTATAAGCAGCGTTGAGGGCATTGAGTGCGTTACATCAGGACTCCAAAATATGAGCACTCAATACATCCATGCCACCTATTTCAGTGTCACTGTGAATTCACTTGCCTACCTAAATATTGACAACACGATAACTGGCATTACTGATTCACTATGACAAATGTCACTTCTCACATTTACCTTCTTCCTGAATGACCAACCATCAAATCGGCTGTGGTCGCAAAAATATATTCTAACGGATTCTGTATAGGTAGCGTAACTCCATGCTCAAAAAGTCAGACTAACGTTAACCTCAAAAACGATATTCACTTTTACGCAGTGGCTTCACGATATCGATTGCTGACTTCAGCGAAGTAATGCTCTAAAAAATTACCCCATCTCACAAAGCCTTCATTCGAAATGAAGCTATCAGAACAGTAAAACTCCGGAGCCTAAAATTTTAAAACACCGTACATTCGTTTCTGAAATTCATCACTTCGCCTTCTCTCCTCCTTTAAAGTGAGGCAACTGGGGCTGATACACTTCTGAGTAAAGTACACAGCCTGAAGAGGAATGCACATCAGTTATACGGAACATGTACTGCCCACTTTGTTCAACATGAACTGAGTACTAAAAGCTGAGCAGCATCTCCTTAGCGACTCACTATTCTAAAACGAATAATAATCAAGCAGAGTTCGAATATGCTGCAAACCGATTATCACACGCTGTTATTCACAAAAATTCATAATCAGAAATCGTATAAGAAACCCAGTTATAATTCTAAGAACTGTTGCTACGAACAATTTATACGGATCATTTTATACAATAATGCGACCATGACGAGAAACAGAATTTACCGCTGTTAAAATCTTCCATTTATTTCACAGGGTGAAAAGAAAGGAACTTATACCTATATAACCAACGACAATCAAATTGAACCCAAATGGGATATGCAACAACAGGCAGGTGTTGGAGCAGATTATGTGACCGATAGGCTTAGGAAAGTTCCAACACGTAAGTTTTAAAAACTGGAAAAAAGCACAAAATTATGCAAGACAGCTGCAGCAAGTTACGATTTTTCTCCCTCTCCCCCTCCAAATGATATTTTTCTTCTCTTACAGGAAATCCTGAAAATAGAAAATGGTATGACTCCGCTGCGATTCCTTTCATGGATGAGGTTTCTGCATCGCTGGAAGACCTATATACAGATCAACAGCAACCAAAGCCACAACTGTGAAAGATGTACATACTTTACGACTGACTGCACAATAAACTTGTAAAGCTCTTTTGTTTTAATAATCGCCCAGTTACACACATATTCCAAACTTTGATAATACATTTTTGAGTCTTGCGCTTGGTGACAACAGCAACAAGCAAAATTATTTTGAAATGAATGTGTGTATTTTTATTGCAGCAAACAAATTCAGCAATAACAAGATTAGACAATCATCAAATTCTTCTAATAAAATACAATCGTTCTTTTTTTTAATGTAGCGCGCATACCGGATATGAACTTAACTAAATGCTGATAATGAATATTTATATAAAAGGTAATTGATATACACGGGTTTCAGAAAAAATAAGTTATTTTGAAAACTAGTCATGTCTTTTTTCGCCTATTTCATTTGTCCCTGATTCATGGGGCTGGTGATCCGAAATAAATGCCCGTAAGTCTTCAATGCACCGTTGTCCTCTTTCGTGTAGAATTTCTTTCAGCATTGGCATAAGTCGACTTTCAAGATCTTGGTCTTTGCTGAAAAATGAATTTTAAATGGCAATTAGTAAGTAAAAATTTTCCAAATACTAAAACACAAATGGTAAGTTTACCGAGTGTAAGTGGGAACAACTGTCCAACTCTATGTAGTTTACCATCCATGGTGGGAAACTAGAAAAAAAAGTGAAGACGCAAGGAAACTTGCATTGAAGAAAACTCTAGCAGACCGAATGTTTCTTACATGATGAATAGACTACTGAGTTAGGTAACGCAGATAGGAAACTAAGCGAACGAAAGACTGGAGTATAGAACCCAAAGTGCACAAGAGGTTTGAAATAGTTTGCACAATGAGGGACTTCGCATATATGCCATAAGCTTAATCTAGAAAGTAAGGTACATATTCCTGTTATTTACAGCAGTCATACCAGTAAGAAGAAACACACTTACCTTTGTGGGTAGTTACAATGTTTACTGTCAAAACAAATAGCCGACAGTGAGTGCAGATTTTTTCGCCATATCTGCACAGCTTTACTTAACAATAGGGAGTAATTTAGTTATTTTTTCAAAATATTGTATTTAGGCAGTCATGCAAATTAGAACTCATAACTGTAGACAACTACTATAGGTATTTTAAGCCCTTACATCTTAAATATTATGCTCACCTTAATGGCTCTAGTGAAATCTGCTAAGAACTTTGTTTTATTAGACAAAGATAATAAAATTTTGAACGTTCTGTTACAATTGGATGTCATACCATGAGATTTCACCAGAATAAGCCCGAAAATCGGATGAACTTCTCGAAAAGCGTGACAAGTAGACAGAGCTTTATGGAGTTTAACGACACAGACGAAAGAGACAGAGGTAGAGAGAGAGAGAGAGCTACTGCGAAATGAAAGGACAAACAAAAATAGAAATGCAGCCACTTACTTGTGTAGCGTGCAGTAGTTTTACACATTGACATTAGAATAAAACGATTAATGCATAAAGTAGATAATGGATGACGACAATTCAATGATTGCAGCATCAGAAGGAGCAACACGAATGGAATGTGAAAATAATCACCCAATCGAGGTAAGATATACATTTTTGCCAGGTTCGATAAAACACGAACAAGGATGAAAGAAAGCACCCAATCACAATAGTTGACTGATCAATTTATACCTTCTATAAGCAAAAGCAAACGCCAACTTGATTCGTAGGCGTAGTTGCAGCTGATATAAAGTTGAGTGTATATATATTAAACCATGATATGACCCGTTAACAGTTAAATATCCTGCAAGTCTCGGATATGTTGGCTGGCATCTAACGAAAATATTCACAATAACCAATCCATTATTTATAAATTAATTCACTGTTCCATACTCTGAAGATAAGAAATCAGCCCTTATCCGTGGGTAGAAATGCTAAAATTGCCAAAGCACAGATTCATATTAGATTAAGATGAAAGAAACATAACATTTTACGCACAGACGGCTAAATTACCTTATCAACATGCGTACAACTGTTGTAAATGCTTCGCAATCCCGTTTGTACTCCTTTTTAAAATAATTGTGAATTAAAAAAGAAAATATATGCGATTACCTCTGCTAATGTATCTTTCCGATCACGAATCAAATTCATTACATCTTCAGAACCATCATTAGGCTCTGCTGACTTTTTATTATTCATAGTTGGTGCACTAGACGTAACAGTTGTAGATCCTGAACTATCTGGAATTTTCAAAAAAAATTGTTGGTATGCTCGTGAGTATTAACAGAAAATTAGAGAAACATCAAAATAATTCATAAAAATTGTACTTCAGTAGCACTGGTTGCTTCACAAACTGCCATGCAGATGAATGTGCACAAAAGATAGACAAAACACAAAAAATCTTTGCAAATAGCTTCTCATTCCTATAGCAAGGACACATACGAGAAAACTAAGTTTCCAAATATTATTTATACATGACTTAGGTGAGTCGTATACACAAATACAATCCTGAAATCAGATAATAACAACAGTATTACAGTTACAGGCTCATATTTGCACTAAAAATGATAGATCATGGAAGACGTCTATCAGCATAAAACATACTGCACCTTAAACAGAAAAATGCAGATGTTATCAGAATGTGGCTCTACGGATAAAAATATTTTATGGCATTATACTTTTATTATTTATTTGAGTTTGTGATTTTCTCGCTGACGATTAATGGATCGAATCGATCAACTTCATTTTAATTTTTTGAACGAATGTCTTGAAATTAACCTGGACTTCCACTAAGCCGCAGCACATAGCGAGCGGGTAATAAAATCCAAGACTCACATTTCATCTTATTTGGAACTCGTCAACTAGAGATGTATATACACATATGTTTAAGGTATTTTGAAACTTTCGTATGACATGAAACCACCTTCAGGATACTGAAAACCTAGTCAGTCATCCTGTGCTTATATACGTATACGTGTTCCGTTTACCTATCATGATATATACTGTGAAATACTGATCCCAATATTATGGATTGTAACAAAACACCAAAATATGTGAATTAAACACATTCCCTTCACCTCACAACATTCTGCTGTGATGAAAGAATTTGTTTACCCAGAAAGAATGAAGAATCATACAATGATCACTACGAAGACGTACCTAGCGGTGTCTGAAGACAATTTCATCCGATAAGTACTATAACCTTAAAACCGCTTATGTGATAAATAAGTGTTTATGGTCCTTGTAAGGAAGCAGTGTTCAAACACAGGATAAAAAGCTGGATACCATAAATCCAAAATAAAGCTGCCCGTACAGAAGCGATCTACACGCGACGGCCGGCAATTAAAATATCCCGATGTTATGGAAGACATTTCTTTATTTAGATTAGTGTAGTTTGAAAGACCTCACACGGTACACAGGCTGTGAATCGAAAATGGGATGTCGGTTAGTGAAAATATACTTTGAACCGTCAAGAATTCAATGGTTACAGTAATAACACGAGTAGGTCGTTAATTCGATTCGTTGCCAGGTTCAGCTGCGCGACATAAGCGAGCACAGGTTCAGAGTAAGGCTATTAACAAAATTTACTAGCATTATTGGTAGCGATGACTATGTGGACCCTATGAACCCGTACTTTACTGACTGTTTCTGTATGCCAGCTAACTACAGCTGGAAACCAATGATACAAAAAAAATCAATTCTGAACAACTGACTACTATAACTTACATATCAATAAGACCACCTACCAAACAATTTACGCCAGCGTAATAAGATGTTTTAAATAATTCTACTGTAATATAATGTAGGCGGAGGATCATGCTCAAAACAGATCACAACTATTATCCATTTGACAAAATCTGTTTGAGTTGCACAAACAATTTAACTGTTAAGCTTTAAGAACGGCAGAAAGGTGGTTGCCGCCTATCATTAATACATTAAACAATGAAAATACCCTTGTATTCTTTGTATAAATGCACAATGGTCGACATGTTATGTCTATTGGTCGACCGACACAAGTATCCAGAAAACAGTTGTATCTATAAAACCTACCAAATGAATAATTCAACAATGATTTATGCATATATTGCAGCATGTCACATGAAACAATCGTGGAGGGCCTAAAGACAGGCATGCTGTTAATGAGTAGAAAATGTGGATCGACTTTCTTATTGAATAGATGTGTAGCGACAACACATAAGGAATACCTATTTAACCAGGTATCCAGAACAAAATACTCGTTAACAAATCACTGTATATGAAACATCGAATCCACAAATAATTTTTTAATAACTCGTCTGAACAACACAATGGTTGCTTCGATATTTTTTGATTACTTCCAGCGTATTTAAACAAACTGACTGGCAAAATTTGAATATGATTTGAATTCCTGTTGATCCCAACAAAAGCTATTTGTTTAAGTGAAACGATTAAAACATCAATATTTTAGAGTTGAATTAGAGAAAACAAAGAGGTATATTTACATAATTTATATCTATAGCAATAAGAAGTGTAATTTATACAAATGAACCATCCAACAACAATCTTTTTCGATTTTTTTTATTTTTGATCATAGCTTGATTCCACACAGTATTTTCGGTACAAGTATGGAATTTTCAGCATAGATATCGGTAGCCCAAATTTTGCAGGCCGACAATAGATATCAGGTGTGCGTCGGCAGAGGATCGAACCCCGGACCATGTGCATGATCGGCAAGAGTCGTAACCACTGTGCCACCGACGCACCATGTTTGCAGCTATGCGGATGGTCAAAAGACATACAATTTTGAAATGAGAAATTTACTTATCGAAACAAATTCTACTGTTTCATACTGTAGACTTAAAATCCTGACGGTTACACTGATAGACTATAAAAGAAGAACAACGACTTCAACGTACGTACATGCGACATTCAAATGTCTTATTTTTTAGCTATCAGTAAATGACCACCTATCAAATTCACAGTACAACTATCAAGAGTAAATAGCCAACATTTTAGTGAGCTGCATTATTTTTCTCGTTCAAACAACCTCAAACTCAAAAATACAAAACCACAGGATTGTCCTTTTACCACTAAAAGCAACGCTACTAGTGAACTTTTAGACACAAATACCTCTCATAAAATGATGGAATCATAAGAAAATAAACTAATTAAGCCTTCAAATGAAAGTTGATGACAAGCTGAGTGAGACGCGTATCCGGTATCACGTATATTTTAATTTTCTTACTCAGTAGGAAGAATGGACAACCTAATTCATCGAGTAGTTACTTTTGCCACGAACTGATGAAATAAGTATTAGGAAATGACAACACTTAAGTGCTTTAAATCTCTCCGACTTTCATGTCGGCAATATAACTTAGTAAAGGTCAGTTGAGTTATTGACGAAAAAGATAATCCCCAAGGCAACAAGCCACCTGTTACTAATCATGACTTAGCAAGCAATTTCATGTTAACTGAATGAACTACATTGGTGACTATAAAAATAATTACAAGCAGAACGAAATGGGAATGGTGCTATTATTACCAGGTACAAAACGACAAAACAGTCTCCGAGACACAGGATACAATCTAGATGGAGTATAACTGAAAACAAAATCCACCAATGACCAGTAAGGCAGAACACTATTGTAAGGACGATTAGGACTGAGCATCACATTACAAGTGAAACAATTGTAATGATTAGTGTTACCTTTATAAATCATTGAAAATGCAGTGAGACTGAGTTGAGGAGCTAAAAGGTTGAAATTCAAGCATACAAACCAACAAGCTATGGCTCCACAAATGGAAAAGAACCACACAGGACACTATTTTGGACAGGGACTACAGAAACAAGGTGTTCTATCGCATGAACCAATGCTATTCAGTTCTCACCCTGAAGATAATCCAGTTCTAGGAACCAAGAAACTGATCTCATACCTACTTAAATACTCAAACTTTACCTATTTATCAAAACACCAGCATTGTTTGCATCAAATAACATACTGAGGTGCAATCTGTCGTCATTTGAAGTGAGATAAAAGTTGTATGGCGTTAATTTCTGGTAGTTTAAATAAGAATTTTACAATGCAATGTGCATAACATTCTGATACACAAGACAAATAAAAAAAGTCTTTCTGCAACTAGTGATGTAGGACAGCGTCTGCTGTGTATTACACCAAGTATTAAATCAATTTGCAGATACGATTGTTGTGAGATATACAACCTCAATCAATAATTAAAAACGCACGAGAATAACTGCAACTTACTCTTTGATGATGCAGGCTCTGATGTTTTAGGCAGAGATTTATTACCCCTTGGAACCACCGACTGTCTACCACTGACTTTCGAAGCATCAGAATGATCATTGTCACTTGAATTATTAACTGAACGGGTGGCAGATTTGTTTTTCGCTTTACTTAATCTGCCGGAATTCGAAGGCCACTTTTCAACTTTTCTAGGTGGATCATCACTAACTTCGTCTTCCGGTGTTCTCCATCGTTTAGCTGTATTTGATACTGTGGCGGACAGAGGAGAACGCGCATTTTCAGAGTGTCGCGAATTATGACCACCCTTTGAATTCTTTTTACTAGCTACCGGCGAGGAATCCTTGCCTGATGATCTCTGACTCGACTTGGAAACACTTGATCGACGTTTTCGACTGGCATTGGCTTGGCGCATTTTTACTGAATTTTCAACTTCTGGCGTCTTTCGAAGACTTGTTCGTTGGGCTTTGCTGCGTGTATTAGGTCGGTCATGAGATTCGGTGCTGTGGAAGGAAATACACATAGATAAATGGGTGAATAAAGAGGAAGACTTTACAACGAGTTAATAAAGTGTCATCATCCTTATGATACTAAGCAGCATATCTTCCCTCAAATTGATAGGAAGTAGCTTTGAACGGTCAGCTGGTAATGCAAGAGCTCTATTTTCTTCTCTCTAATAATCAAAATTATGTGAATCTTACTCAGTAGTGAATGCACACCACTAGGGTTTAGAGATAATAATAATACGCTCCCTTTGATTCAGGGAAACACCCCGACAGTTACACCGCCAACTTCATATTGAAGCATTCAACGTCAGGACTTGCTGGCAGATCGGACAACAGGCATCACTAGCCACAACTCTGACGTCACGAGCCATAGATTTATTCTGCATTTTGGAGACACACAGAAAAGTCCCGAGCCACATCCAGAGGTGAAGACTTCCTGATTGGGGTCCTCGGGAAGGTATGAACTAATGACAATTAGTGATATAGCTCAAAACCATCCTCAGTGACAGTGCAGATGCATTCACTCTTTGAGATTTATCACATCCAATAAAACTCAATTGTTCTTTTACATTATTCTTTTTGCCTCACACTTCCGTCAATTATCTCTTTGCTCTCTTATGCTGTGCTACATGGAGTGTGGTAACTGGAACTGCTGAACATCTGGGAAGCAGTGAATCAGAAGACAAGGAACACCACCAGCTAATACACATCTAGAAACACTGGCTTGTTAATATTTTTGTGACAAATCTACTATTGTGATTGCAGGCAGATGCTCATCATAATCTTGCAAAACTACTTCCCACTTAAACTGTACAAAGCACATGCTCTACAGACAATGGTCTATCTGTTCGACCATCGAGAAATCCAGTTGAACTAGAAAAGCTTGAAAAATCATCAGCCAACCATAGGTCTACGCGCTAGAATCAAGTCGCAAAACTGATTCTGAATATATTGAAATAATCCAGAAAAATTTCAGAAATCACAGAGGGCGTCTAATATCAAAAGCACTCCATATCAAATGAAATCCCGATTGTACGAATAGGAATGATGGACTAAAAACAGAATCTGACCTTGTTACAACAACCTCCCCCCATGAAATGACAAAACCAACACAAATGTGATATGCAATTTCATTATGTAAACACATGCTGCTTCTATAATTATAATTTTACACTTATCAAATCCAATGATCCACACCTGGTTTTGTTATCTTTGCCAATCGGCCAACTTGACAAATCAAAAGAATTACCCGATGCTGATGAACGATGACCAAATTTGTTACATATATGCTGAGATTTTGTAAATTCTAGTTTAGTAGTACTACTTTGATAAATAGCGAAACGTCAGGAAAGAAAATGTCGTTTTTCATTCCTTGGGAAATACAAAAAATTTCACGATGATCTGTCTGTTGCCAATACACCGTGCACTCTCAAAATCTAGTGGTCTTTGTTCAGTTAGTACATTTACACTACTAATCACTTTCGTTAGTGTCATACGATGAAGCAAAAACGACCAAAATGCAGACTGACCTCACTAGATAACCGAATATATATTAGAAATAAATGGCATTTGGTAACCCCATCTTACATATAAGAAAAGTCGTTTACGTGAAGAAGTGATCGGTCTCATATCGTTTGTTTTTAGCTATCTAGAGCTGATCAAAACGCAGACGACAATGATCTTGAGAGACTTGATGGGTAATATCCTGTTCGATTGTTCTGAGAAGATATACATAAAACTGTGAGGCACTAATGAATGGAAATGCTAGCGACGAGGAGAAACACTATCCTATTATCCCCAATTATTTCACTTCATAAGTAATAGATGCCAGTGCTAGAATATGTAAACAGTTCATCAAGTTCAGAGAATGCATGACGTCACCGACTATCACATTTTTAGAATTTTCAAGATTTGTATCAGATATGAACACGAATAAAGTATTGCCAGTAAAAATAAACACCAATTAGTTACCTGTTAACTGGGGAACGGGTATTTCTTGTTTTCCTTCGTTTTTGAGGTTCAACGATAGATCGACTCTTCTCATCACTATTAGAAGCAGCTGCAGTTTTCGCTTTGCTACTGCGACTAGAATGATTATTGTAAGGTGGTGAGATCGAATGCATCCGTTTACGCCCACTGCGGTTTTTAGGAGAATCGAAAGCACCATTAGAACTGGCAACTGAAGCGCCAGACGACGAATTCTCGGAAGAATGACGGCTTCTCCTGGAAAAACTATCGCCTCGGACAGGGGACTGTTCAAAGCCCTGTTGCCCACGGCGTCTTAGTTGTATAAGTCCACTTACCAGTGAGGACCCACCTTCCGGGTTAGGTGCAGGAGCATTTGAGTAAGCGAGATTTTCTTCATTCATCGAAGGTGACCCTGTGAAACATGAAAAAGAAACGCTTAGGAGATCAATCGATAAAAGAAAAGTGCACTAGATCAGGTACTACTTATAAGCGAAAGTCAGAAGTTAATCCATGATAACCGGCAAATGTCAAAGGAACTTGCTTGAAAGCCGCTGCTTTTTCCGTTGTTGATAATCTGGAGATGAATTTTCACCCCCACTGTTGTCATATCGTGTATGATTTCTATCTACTGAGTGACGATTAGATGAACTTTGTCGCCTTCGCTCCCCTGAAGATTGGCTACTACTGCTGCTACGGTCATGAGAATGACGAGAACGATTGCGAGAAACACGTCGATCATCATAGTTACGTCCATTAAATTCGGACTCGCTAGCATTCATTGAGTCATCATGATTTGACGGTAATGAGTGTCTGAAATAAAATGTGAAAATTTTATTATCAAAATCGAGTAGATATGCATACGTATATATTATTAGCTCCTATTGAAAGGCAAAATGTCTTGGAGATTTTTGACGGAGAACTTTCCCAAGATGTGCTCTCCTTATCTTGGTTGGTTTAGGTACTATAGGGAATCAAGATTTCACATCAAAGTTATGGCATACCTGACATTTGAAACTATACGTCAGTAAGTCATATAAACGAATGGCAAAGTAATGAACGTGACATGATAACTTATCACGTGCTGAGTTTGACTGTGTTCATACTATGTGGAGTCAAAGCTCCTCGTAATAAATAACGTCGAGACAAGTGGTTGGAAAGACCAGGAATTTGGCTTAAAACCAGTGCTTAAAATCACGAACATTCAGAAAGTCAAGCAGAAAAATTCGAATACATCGGATTAGGCAAGTGAAAAACCAACACACGGAACTAAACGGATGAAAACGAGTCATATTTGCTATCGTTTATTTCTGTCTGTCTGTCTGGATTCAACATAGAACTTGGCACCGAAGTGCAGCAGTTCGAGTTGCCACCTTCCAAATAGCACACAGAGGTAGACAAGATGAGTGAAGAGAATCAATACAGTCTGACAAGTATAAGAGTGAAACAGAATGGGTAATGGTAGAAAGGAATATGAAAGATTACAGAGACTGAATACATCTGCGCCATTGACAACGATTTTGAGCCATGTCACCTATTGTCTCCAGCCATTGATTCCTAGAGTCCCGAGGCCCCCAACCCGGGAATCTGCATCTCCCTACCTGACCGACTCAGTTTAACTGTCAAGGATTTCATGGATTGATGAGGCCATGTTTTTGTTTGGCCACCACTGGCTCTTTTCCAACCTGAACCTATATCAGCTAGCAATGCCCGTCGGGGGAGGCGGTGGTTAGGCATGCGCAGCACGTGACCTAGCCATCTTAGTCTATGTAACTTTATAGCCTCGTCGATTGATTTTCCCTCTTTGCCCAACACTACGCCTAACGTCAACATTACTTACCTTGTGAAACCACCTAACGTGAGACAGAGATCGCAGACATCTATGATCGAAAGCAGTCAACCTTTTCATGTCTTCAACGCGTTTATTTAATGTTTCGTAAGTGGGGAAAAAGTATGACTAGTCCGCAAACAGAAATATAGACCGAACTGACATCTGATCAATAGGAAATGAGTGTTTTCACTATGTTGGTCAAGCACCAGCATGGTGTGACAACTCGAACTGCTATATATCTTTACAAAGTCCTTCGTTGAAACCAATCAGTCAGTCAAAGCAGCAAAACGCCCATGGAAGCTATTCAAAATCAGACCAGAAGCATATTAAACTTTCTGGAAAAATAAGCTTGAGCTCGCATAGTCTGAACTGCACAATTCCTATTGATCAGTTAACCGTCTTGAGTAGGTGGCTGTTTTCTAAGACCAATAATCAACCTCCTGAAGCCTCGTATACGCTAGCTGTAGCACTAACCATACTAAAACTCTAAGTTTGAACTGGATACATTATTACCATGTATATGTATAATACGGATATTTTGACAACTGATAACATAGACGTACCTTACACACGCTCCATTTTAGAAATCCTATCAAGTGTAGACGAAGGGAATAATACGCGACAATACAGACTTACTGATTCAGTTTACAGTTGGTTTTCTGACCCTAAGCTTTCAACCAGAGGTTTTGGCATTGATGCATCCTGAATTCTGTTGAAACAGAATAAGCTGACAATAAGGAACACTACTTGTTTTGTCCTAGTGTTTTCGCTACTTACCCACCAGTTATCTTCCCTATTTTTATGTGTATACAAAAAGCAATGGTGTACGTCCCAGTGACAATCCAGGCTTAAACTGACACCGAGGAGCAATTAAGTGCCACTATCCCTCCATGCCACACATATACGTAGACAAAAAATATATGGACTAATTTATAGCGTCAGCGCTGTTATCATTTAAACCAACTATTACAACCACTCTTAATATAAGTACTAACCTTGCATTAGAAACAGATCTTGATCGAGAAACGACTGATCTGCTGGCGCTTCTGGAAGATGATCCTGTGAATGATCTGCTTCGTGAGGCAGACCTTCTATCTGTACTTCTGCGACCTGTACTACGTTCTTCACTTCTGTGATCTGCACTCCTACCGTCTGTGCTTCTACGATCCACGCTTCGGCGGTCTAAACTTCTGCGATCAACACTTCGACGATCTCTGCCACCGTCTCTGTATCCTCGACCACCTGAAGAAGACGAACCATTTCGTATGCGTCGACTGTCACCATAATTCCCAGGAGATTGCATGCTTCTTCGTTCTGGTCCCCGGAAACCGCGAGCGCTCGGGGGAACCGTCTGCCCTGGCGCTGTTCTTCATACACTGGAAAGAGGTATGTGATATAAAAGAGTTACTTTTTGCTCTGGCCTTCTTGAGGTCTTTGAACCATGTGAGTTCCACAGGGTAACCAAACATCGTTTTGCCATTATGTCTGCTAAATGAAACAATAAGTTCAGCCTACCGACGAAGCATTTCACTCGCAATATCGTGAGATTTGAACCGTATGGCAACTGAAAACCTCTTCTTATCCTCTGAAGTAGAAAAGAACTCCACAGAGCACCTGGAATTCGTTTCATTGCTGAAGAAATCTCTGCAGATATAGAAGTTATACAAAAACATAATCCTCCTCACTTCACTTTAGTCACATCTGTAGACCCTGGCAACCCTCTAATAAAGAGAGTATGTCGACTAGGAAGCACGTTACGCGGATTTAGCCGGTCGAAATTCTGTCTACGATACATTATCAATCACGACAAGCACCCGCTAACAATGTCACCACTTAGCAAAACAAACTAAGGTGTACATACTTTGAACAGACAAATATGAGCATCATCGACCATTAATTTTCCCCTGAATATTTATGATTAAATTCCTTATCTAACGCTAGCAGTATACCACTTCAAACAACTGCGCACGGTTTGACTTCAGGAGCAACATTCTTCGCAAAAATTTAAGGCCTATTTCAATCATTTTCTTTTAAAATACATCTATCAATAACAACACCGTTTTGTCTCATATTCATTAAAGGACTGAAAATTATACTAATTAAAATCATATAACTGCAATATATAAGATTCCGTGCGCCGGTGACACAGTGGTTAGAACTCTCGACGAGCATACATATGGTGAAAATGTAGCTGAGGATTGAACGATCAATTCCCGGTTATTTGCACAAAACCAACTTCCTTATATTTTCGCGGAGGCATCAATACACCAGTCATCGTCTCATCGGTCGCTGTTCAGAAAGAAGTCAGGACAAAACCGTCAGAAGTAATATTGTGATGTATTATTTTAATATTTGTTCATAGACCCTAGTAAAAACATTTTTTTATATGTTGATGTAACAATACAGAATCCTCGAGTCACCAATCGGTGTTTTGGTTTTTGCGTCCGTTATTACTAAGCGTTTCTGAGAAACTGCAAGGAACAGCGTGAGCCCGAGCGTAGCAAGAGCTGGGCATTAACGGTTTATGAGACGTGGCTGACAGTTTCTGATGGCAGAAACAGATTCTGGCCGATTCAGATAGCTGGTAACAGTTTGGATAGTCACCGTTCATCTTTCCTGGTGCCGGTCAAGTCCTCTTTGAACAAGCAATATCTGGAACGTTTTTGGAATTGGGTCAAGTTCAACAATACCCGGGTCAAAGAAGGGACAGAGTGTCTTGGATGCAAACAGGAAAGTAAGTCATGGTGACTTGTCTGTTAATTGTAACGATGTGTCTGATGTTAAGCATGACATGGTTGATGTTACTGTTTCGCCGTTCAGGGATAATAGGAACATCAAACTCCCCAGATTTGAACCACGGTGTTTCGATGGAAACCCGGCTGATTATTTACAATTTGTAAGGGAGTTTGAGATCATGCTGAGTAGTTTTTTATTAAGTGATGAATTGAAATTGATGTATTTGATGAGGTGTTGCACTGGAGATGCTTCAAGAGCTATACAGTGCTGTAAGTTTATGAAGCCAAAAGAGGGCTACTACGAGGCTACGAGCATACTACGTCAAAGGTTTGGAAGACCTTCGATGATTGTAAGGAACGTATACGAAGCTGTCAAAAGTAACGGCAGTCAACTTCAAGATGACTCCAAGGCACTTACTGAGTTTTTAGATAATCTTATGACTTATAAGAATACCTTGATTTCGATGAATTGCATGAATGACCTCAACTCGAGTTTTATACTAGAAGTAATAGCAAGACGCCTACCTACTCGACTGCAAAGGAAGTGGGTGAAGATAAGCTCCCGTATGGAGGATGAGGGTATCGAGCCAAGGTTTGATGATATCCTGAAACTAGTAAAAGATAGCGTCAATCAATCGATGAGCAAGTTTGCCAGTATATTGAATCTCACCCCTAGAATAGAGCAGTCTGAGGGTAAAACGCAATCATTGATGACGAATAGGCCTCAGAGAGGTGGATATCGAGAAGGCTCCATGATGTCTGGTAATGCATATAGACCTAATGAGTGTAACAGGTTTCGTAGTACATCTTCAATAGATAAGTTGCAAGCTGCAAGAGAAACACGGTTGTGTTTTACCCGTTTGCAAGAAGTGCATACAAAGGTGAACCGTGAACCAGTGAGCAAGTTCAGGGATAAGCTAAATGTGAAATCAAGGTCTGACTCCGAATTGTGTGACGATAACGGTGCGGTCAGGAAGTCTGTAGTTGCAACTGTTAAGCCATTGTTGAATAGAGTGTCACAGAATAGAGTTGCTGCTTCAGAGTGCAGTTCTGACCCTACAAGTTTACAAGGTATTACTAGTCAGAGTGAAGATATAAAACCTTTAAGGATTTGCGAGGAGGAACCAAAATTGTCTACTTCTGTTATTAAAGAGTTTGAAAATGATGAAGTTGACGGTAAAGCGAATATTCGTGATAATGATCACGATGGTGCAGATTTTTCTTTGGTTGATCATGATGAAATGAGGGGAATGCCTACTAATGCTAAGTTGAACCAAAGTTCTGTACAACTACAACGTGAAGTAGAAATAAATGCAGATGCAGTTGCAGAAGGCATGCATACTTGTGAGACCGTCAGTGTGATTGATCAGCATGTGGCCCATCTATCATCAGATGCTAATGTTAAACCTGAGCTGATAGTAAAAGACAGCAGTGGTGGTAATCTTGCAGTTATACAACTATCTGAAAGCAGAACAACAACAGCTTCTGATTCACCGCTAAGTTGGTCAACTGGTATCAATCAGTCGTCGTTGGTGTTGTCAGCCACAATGGAAAAGACGCCCATGAACTCAACTATCTTGTGCAATGACTCTGAGAGTATTGGTGCGTTTGAAAAGACGAAAGATATTGCTCAGTTTAGTGAGAATAAGCCAAGTGTAAACGAGAGAGTAATTGTTAAATTGACTTGCATGAATAAAGGCATTTCTAGTTTCAAGTTACTATTTGAATGCTATTATCTTTGGTGCAAATTACTCTGTGTCTACGCTTGGTTGACCAGATGCGTCGTGTGTTTGTTCGTCATTTACGTTCTACGATACAATGACATGAGCGTGTTTCCGTTCAGATTTGAGGATATATCTGATAGAGGGAAGTCATAAAATTAACTCTGCAACGATTTTCCAACCTAGGGCGTCAACCTGAGAAGGGTTGTAGGCGTACTGCTGTAAGTCCTACAATTCTTCAAAGGGTAGCGCATCAATGAGCATCCAATGTGCTTGGTGTGTGATTTTGTACATATGTTCATATTGTATATACTGAATTGATATCATCTGTCATCTAGCTGTTGGTAATTCTGTTTGTGTCCGGACGACTTCCACTTGGACCATCAACCTGAGAAGGAATGTAGGCGTACTGCTGTAATTCCTACAGTTCTTCAAGGGTAGTTTGTCGTGCCAGAATCCACAACATCTGATGTGTTGATTGTACATATGTTTGTGTTAAATAATTGTGTGAGTTCCAATTACTGTAATTGTTGGTTAATCTTGTTTGTGTCCGGACATTCTTCAACTTACAATCGTCAACCTGTGAAGGGTTGTAGGCGTACTGGTGTAAGTCCTGCGATTCTTCAAAGGAATTCCACCAAGACATGATCTGCGAGTTTGTATGTACTGTTTGTATATACGTGTGGTGTGTCATATCAATTGGTGGTGTTTTGGATTCATTGTGTTTACTCGTTGTTTTCGTACCTTGTTGTTATTGTGTAATTTTGTTAAAATTTTCGTCGTGATTACTTCTGAAGTTGTTTCTTGTCTTCTACATCCGTGAATGAATTGATTGATGTTAGAGACAGCAGATGGGTCGTATACGCCGTGGAGGCTAGGCTATTGCTGAGAATGAAATGCATACGGAGATAATTGTTAGCTGCGGTCCCACACGCCGAGGAGAACGAGTGTAAACGACTGAGGCTCGCATACGTCACCGTTACTAGAACTGAGGCAGAATGAGTGACAAGCGATTGCAGTGGTAATTGGTAGTGAGTAGATAAGACGATGTGGGTGGAGTATCGTGAGGTGGTGCTATGGTCACGTTGCATTCTGCAAGAGTCATTCGAGCAAGTGGTGATTGTGTTGCAAGAGGATGCCTTTAACTAGAAGGCGCAGGTCGTCATTGATGTGTGAGATTGTGCTGTGGGTATGCTTGTGGTGTGTTGGCTTTTCTGTTTGTTTTCCATTTCAGCTCTGTCCATGTGACCCAGGTTCTCGCACTGGCATCCAAATCAACGTGTATTGGTTGTGAAGGAAAAAGGGATGGATCCCTTTTTCGACGGGGAGTGTCAATGCAGTTGAAGATTGAACGATCAATTCACGGTTGTTTTCTCAAACCCAACTTCCCCATAATTTTTGCGGGTCACCAATGCGACAGTCATCGTCTCATCGGTCGCTGTTCAGAAAGAAGTCAGGACAAAACCGTCAGAAGTAATATTGTGATGTATTATTTTAATATTTGTTCATAGACCCTAGTAAAAACATTTTTTTATATGTTGATGTAACAATACAGAATCCTCGAGTCACCAATCGGTGTTTTGGTTTTTGCGTCCGTTATTACTAAGCGTTTCTGAGAAACTGCAAGGAACAGCGTGAGCCCGAGCGTAGCAAGAGCTGGGCATTAACGGTTTATGAGACGTGGCTAACAAACGTCTTTACTTGATCCTCATTTTATTCCATTAAAACTAACATTTTACAGTTCTTTATGACTTATTATATTCCTACTCTCTGAAGGGTACGGTTGTGCACTAAATGCACAAAAAGGTATAAAATAAAAACAACTGGCACAACTGAGGATAAATGTATTAAAACCAAAAGTGGACATCATGATAGTACGAGATATACGTGTAGCATTATACATTGCAAATGAACGTTGTCAGCCTGCGGAGTTTCCTTTATAAATGCATTTATTGATGATACTTGCACTTACCTATTACATTACAATTTAATGATTCACCTCAGCACTTTAATTTTTCTACAACAGACTTCAATCCCTTGTAAAAGTTGTAATTACCTCAATATTGGTTGGTTATAGTATGCTTACAACCACGGGATGAAAACGAAACGAAGTCGATTTTCCCGCTCAACCTGGAGGACAATCCTACAACTCAACAAATATACGGTCTAGTTCAGACAATGAGTGTATTATATGTATCAAATATTTAACTGTTGAAATATGATTAACTTGTAGACAATCTGAAATTTGAAACTATATCTTACTTGATCGTGCCTGTAAAAAAGGGTATGCATTTTCATGTAAATTTTTAAATTTGTATGAAATACATTACATTATTAAT